TAAAGGGAGTTGGTCAGTTTCACTCTTGCCCCACCATGTGACTTTACTAGTAGATCCCAGAGCTCCCATCTCCCCCCCTGAAGAGACAGGAAATCTCAATTTGGAGCTCTGAGCAGGAGGCGGAGCGACCCATCAGACTGAGGTGTCATCTGCAGTTGCCAGCACAGGGTTTCTAACAAATAGGTGAAGACTAGCGTCGCCCTGGGCAGCCGCAGGGCAGGCGCTGGGCAGGGGCTGGGAGTGGAGAGGGACCAGGTGAAGGGCACATGCAGGCTGGGTCCCTGCGCGCTCAGTGCTCTGCCGCTAGAGGGCGCTCCAGGACTGTACAAGACCAGGCAGCCCGCTGGCTGCGGTCCCCGCCTCCCCACACCTGGGCTCAACTAACATTACCCAAACGGTGTTTTGCTCCTTGGGAAGAGAAATCTCTGCTCAAATTGTTCTGGGAGATACTACATTCATTTTTCACAAACTAGTCATACACCAGGGCTAGCGTCTAGTGACCCTTGGTGGTGGTGGTGTGTGTGTGTGGGGGGGGGGCTGGTGTGGTTTGTCCTGGCCCAGTAAGACCACCTCAGGATAGCTGGGGCCAGCTATTAGGGATGACCCAATGTGCCAGGGCAGCTGGGGAGGGGCAGCAGGCTGCGCTTCCCCCAAATCTATTTGCCAAAAGCCCAATTTTGCCTGGCCTCCTGCTGTCACCCCCCTCCGCTTCCCCCCGCGGGGGCTGATTTGCACCTGCTCCTGCAGATCAACGCCAGTGCAGAGAGAAACTGGCTCCACGTCAGCTCAGATGCGTCCCGCCTGGCCATCATCTGGAAGTACGGGGGCGTCTACATGGACACGGATATCATCTCCATCAGGCCCATCCCTGCCGAGAACTTTCTGGCCGCGCAGGCTTCCCGGTACTCCAGTAACGGGGTGTTCGGGTTCCTCCCCCGCCACGCCTTCCTGTGGCAGTGCATGGAGAACTTCGTCGAGCACTACAACTCATACATCTGGGGCAACCAGGGGCCCGACCTGATGACGAGGATGCTGAGAGTGTGGTGCAAGCTGGAGGACTTCCAGGAGTTGAGCGACCTGCGGTGTTTGAACGTGTCCTTTCTGCACCCCCAAAGGTTTTACCCCATCTCCTACCCTGAGTGGAGGCGCTACTATGAGGTGTGGAGCCCAGAGCCGAGCTTCAATAACTCCTATGCCCTGCACCTGTGGAACTACATGAACCAGGAAGGGAAGGCTGTGGTGAGAGGCAGCAACACGCTGGTGGAAAACCTCTACCGCAAGCACTGTCCCAGGACTTACAGGGACCTGATTCGAGGCCCGGAGGGGTTGGTGGCTGGGCAGTTGGGCACAGGAAACAAGTAGAGCCAAGTTTGTTGCTGCTACATCGTGGAACTAGATCCACGCCTCTCCAGGGGCCTTACTTCCCCGGGGGCCTCGCTGCCCCCTGACCTCCACTTTCCCCAGGGGCTCAGTAATCTAGTCCTCTACCCACCCGCGGTATCCTCTGGACCTGGGACACAGCCTGGCACACGGTGGGCACTCAGGAACTCTTGGCTGAATTGAATGTTGGACTCTGCCCAGCTAAGGGAAGGAGGTGAGGGTTACATGCATGGCAGGTCTTGGACAGCTGAGGATGCAGTCCTTAGCGTTAGCCTTACCGGCAAAGTAGACCAGGGTGCATGTCAAGTCCACTTTCTCACAACAGCCCTGCAAAAGAGGGTGACCCATTTGCACGGGGAAAATCGAGGCTGGTGGAAGTGGCAGTCACAAACAGCTACCCTCAGAGCTTTTTTCTACACACGCCAGGGACACATGGGGACAGAGCTGCGAAGCAAATGCTCTCTGCCCAGATCTCACACTGGGCTGCACTCAGAGGACACGCACCGACTGCCAGGCCCCAGGCTGAGCCAGAGACGCTTTAGCTAAGTTGTGTCTCATGATGACCCTGCTCGGTAGAGTTTATCCCCACTCCCACCCCGGCAGCTTGGGAATGTGGAATGTAAATGAATCTTTGACCCCAAATCCTAGGCTCTCCCCTCCCCTGCAGGGGGTAGTAGGAACCCCTGGAGAGATAAGCATGCCTAGGTCCTGGTCCTTGCCCCAGTGAAATTTTTAGCATTTTAAAACTTGTGATAAAATATACATACCATAGCATTTGCCATTTCAACCGCCCCGGCAGCTTGGGAATGTGGAGTGTAAATGAATCTTTGACTCCAAATCCTAGGCTCTCCCCTCCCCGGCAGTGGGTACTAGGAACCCCTGGAGAGATAAGCATGCCTAGGTCCTGGTCCCTGCCCCAATGACATTTTTAGCATTTTAAAAACTTGGGATAAAATATACATACCATAGCATTTGCCATTTTAACCATTTTATTTTTATTTTTTTTATATATTTTTTTTATTGATTTTTTACAGAGAGGAAGGGAGAGAGATAGAGAGCTAGAAACATCGATGAGAGAGAAACATCGATCAGCTGCCTCCTGCACATCTCCCACTGGGAATGTGCCCACAACCCAGGTACATGCCCTCGACCGGAATCGAACCTGGGACCCTTCAGTCCACAGGCCGACGCTCTATCCACTGAGCCAAACCGGTTTCGGCGCCATTTTAACCATTTTAAAGTGTACAATTCAGTAGCATTAAGTATATTCACATTGTTGTGCAACCATCGCCACCATCCATCTCCAGAACTTTTTCATCTTCCCAAAGTGAAATTCTGTCCCCATGAAACACTAACTCCTCCTTCCCTATCTCCCCCCACCCCCTCTCAGCCCTGGTAACCGCTATTGTATTTTCTGGAATATCTCTATGTCTGTGACTATTCTAGTTATGATGTACAGGTGAAATCATGTAAATATTTGTCCTTTTGTGTCTGGCTTATGTCTCTTAGCATAATATTTTCAAGGTTCATGTTGTAACATCTATCAGAATTCCATTGTTTTAAAGGAAATTCTATTCCACTGTATGTATGCATGGGCCACATTTTTAATCCATTCATATGTTGAGGGGCACTTGGGTTGCTTTCACCTTTTGGCTAATGTGAATAATGCTGTTAGGAACTTGTATGTGCAAAATTTTGAGTTTCTGGTTTCAGTTCTTTTGAGTATACACCCATAAATGGAACTGCTGGACCATATGGTAATTCTATGTGCAGTTTTTTGAGGAATCACCATCCCCCCCCTTTTTTTATAGCAGCTGTATCATTTTTTACTCCCACCAGCAATGCATGGGCTTCCTGCAAATTTCTCCACATCATCACCAACACATGTTCCCACAGGTTTTTCCTTTGGCCGCCCCAAGATACAGAGTCTGGCAGACTGACCCTGGGGTGGGAGGAAGGCCTTACAAAAATTCCCCGAAGCCTGAGTCTCAGCAAAGCAAGAGCTGGCTATGGAAAGGGGTCAGGACTGATGTCCGGAGAGGAGTTCTTTGGTCCTGGGCTTCACAGCTAGATACACAGGACAATCCACTGGCTCAGGAGTGGTGGTGATAGGATAGTTGACATCTGACCAGGCCTGGGACTCACCCAAGGCACTAGTGTGGGACAGGTAGAAACCAGGAAGATCCCTTTAGATTAGGGCCAGTGAGCTGTGTGTCTGTGTGTCTGTGCGTGTTTGTGTGTGCTTGACATCTGACCAGGCCTGGGACTCACCCAAGGGACTAGTGTGGGGCAGCTAGAAACCAGGAAGATCCTTTTAGATTAGGGCCAATGAGGTGTGTGTGTGTGTGTGCGCCTGTGTGTGTGTGTGCGCCTGTGTGTGTGTCTGTGTGTGCCCCTGCAGCAGCACATCCAGCCTCCGGGGACTCCAGGTGGTGGCCTCTGAGCAAGGCCTGGGAGCCATTCACATGGGTCCGGGGTTTTCCTAAGGGAT